AGGACTGGATAAGATTCCCTAATGTATTTTAAATGTAATTTATTTACACATCATATTTTTGGAGCCTATTTATTGTGCCCACTATGATATATCTGAAATGGAAATAAAGTTAGGAAGAACATTCTAGAAAAAAAATCAAACAGAAAAGAAGGGAGAAAAATATAAGGGGATGTTTGTTAAGAAAAATGATAAAGAAGTCATAAAGAGGGAAAGACGAAAACATTGTGACCAAAATTAAAAAAAAAAAAAGTGCTAAAACTTCAGAACTCTGAATTTGCGCAAGAAAAGAAAGTTTCTGTACATGGTAAAATTAGACTACAAATGCTTACCACCTCTGATATGAGAGAAAATTCAAGAGCGCCTCAGCAGCTGTGTAAGAAAAGAAAACAGGTGTGTGTCCAATCTGGCTGATGTAAAGGGTGTTGAGACTACTGGCTAGGAAGATAAAGAAGCAGAGAGGATTTATGTGTTACTCTTTTTTTCCCCTTCAAGCCATCTAACATGGGACAAGGGCTGATTTGATTGGGACTGAAAGGCCAGCATTTGAAGGAAAAAGGAGACAATGCTTCAGCCAGAAGACTCTTTCATGACATAGATCATGAAAAGTCATGGAGCACAGGAGGTTGGCTCCAATGGCTAGGCTGCAAGTTTGATACTTAGTGAATTTTATTTTCCTTTTCTATTCTCATAGTGGAATGGATTGTTAGAGATGGTTATATCTTGTATATGCATGGGGTTTTGTTGTTTCATCCTCTTTTGAGGGGATATGGGTATCAAAAATAATGATTCAAGCTTCTGAAGATTACAAGCATTAGGCATTATAAGTGCTTTACTAGATGGGTATCATAAATATTGTGTGTTATGTGCAAGGTACCTGGAACATAGAGATCAACAAACTGTAGCATTACTATTAAGAGTAGTGTTAACATTAACATTTTTAGTATTATGCTGCTACTGTTGCTACTAATCAGAAACAGTCTCACATGCTAGAAGTAATGTTGGATTAGACATCTGGAGACCTATGTTCTGACCTGGATTCTGCTTTTAACGTGACCTTTGGCAAGTTCTCCCTTTTCTGTAGGCCTCCATTTATCCCTTTGTAAAATGGGGAAGGTAGGAGAGATGATCTTCAAAGTGTTGTCTTTATACTGATCTGGCACCAGGAAGACACATCTGTTAGTAGCTTTCCCAGAAGTGAGATTTTGTACCTTGTTTCATTGAGCCAACTGGGTAATTAGTGGCATGCATTTGTAAGACATCCAACCTTGATGCACCTGCAGAGCAACAACATGGTTGTTCTGCAGTGGCCCAGAATCAAATATCAGTTGTTGAGAGAGGAAGGGGGCAGCAGGCACATGATATGTACTAGCAAACCTTTGAGGTTCCTTCTTCTTCTGACTTATTACATTATCTGATAGCCAATGTTAAGAATAAAGAGTGCCTAACATATGATTTTTTACTTAATCTAACAAAACATATAATTCCAGTACGTTGAAAGTAATATGATTTTTAAAAGAAATGCAAAAACAGGACATAGAAGGGAAAATGGGCTAGCGCAAGTGTTGTGTTACTTTGTGCTAGGTATTCTTACGGTCCATGACACTATCATATTAGTCTTCCCAAAACTTTGTCTAGGTACCCATTGCATGATTGAGGAAATGGTACTCTAAGGTTAATAGCACAAAGTGGAACCAAGATTCACTAGCCTTTTTCTTTTCCACAATACCATGCTGCCCTTGAACTTAATATGGCTCTACAGAAGAACAGTGATGTGGAAGTAGAAAGTGTTTCTGCCTGCATGAAATTATCATCTGTGATAAGGGTTTTTCCTAGCCTAGTAAAATAAGATTTTGAACCAGTTGCATATTGTATACTTCTTCCTGGAGTATTGGGGGAAGAGACTCACTGAGAGGTAACTGTTGCCTTTGCCACCTGCCAGTGGCTCTATTTCTGGCTAGTCCCAGCCCTACCCATTGAGACATTATTTTCATTGTCTGGAAACTGGAGTGATGAGTCAGTGACATAGCACACTCCTTGTTTTTCTGATTCAAGGTAGAGTTGTAGTTTTAATATGAACCCTCCAGGCAGACTGTATGAAGGATGTTTACAGTTGATAGGAGGTTTCATTTTATTGGAAGATACCTCATTTACTTGAAAGTCTTTGGGGTTCTGAATTTCTTATAAATGAAGAAGTTGTTTTACCTGGTATTCAGAGTAAATGAGCAAGTTTGTGTTTGGATCAATGTACTATATAAACTCAAATGTATCCTCTGTTTTGCCTATTTCATATATATATTCTATATGCATATTTAGAATATGCACACATTCTATATGCATATTTCATATATACACATTTTTAAAAAATTCTTATAATATCTAGAGAATGTTAAGCTTCATAAATTACAATGCTTATTGAAAGATATCCTATAAGTACCCTTTGCACTTAGGAAGCAGAATCCTGTTTAATCCCTATGTCTCTGTACATTCAATTATCTTCTAGTTCAATTCATCATTTACTCCAATTATGGAGATTCCAAATTTTAATGAAGCAAATAAGGTAACTACAGTAAACAAAAACTTGTTATTGACATCAGCCACAATGTAGCAGAATAAGATTTAATGTAGTTTTAATTACATTAAACTAAACTAGAGGTGGATTCGATGAACACAGAAAACCCATTTAAGTTTCATTCAGTTCAGCACATGCCTACTATGTGCCACAAATTGTGGCCTCTGCCCAGAAGTAGCGTGTAAACAAATGGAGGAGACAGGTAGATACCTAAATAAATTAGTTCTACTTATGGCAGGTGCTAAGGTAGGAGGATGCAAGATGCTATGAAAATACTAGTAGGAGGCTCCAGTCTGACCTGAAGACATGGGTAAGGCTTCCTAAGATCTGATAACTTCTTTCCATCTCTACTGCTATAACTGTTGTCCACATCACCTTCATTTCCTATCTCAGTCTCTGCAGCTGCTTCCTGACTGGTCTGCTTGCTTCCACTCTGGCCCCCATACAAGGGGCCAAGACTAGTTTTTTGTTTGTTTGGTTTTGGTTTTTGCATATGTGTGTTTACTGTAATCCATATCTTATAACACATCCAATTAAATATATAAATAAAATCTCTAATTAAACTTCCGTGGTTTCCCATCATTTTGAGGGTAAAATCCAGGCTCCTCTCCATGGCAAACAAGCCCATGGGAGATCTGGCTCCTGCCTTCTCCAGTTTCATTTCACACCAATCTCCCCACAGTCACTTTCCCTGGCCAGTCCGACCTCGTTTCTGTGCCTCTGGCTTTACACTCACCACTCTCTCTGTCAGGAACATTCTTTCTGAGTCTTCACTTGGCCTGCACCCATCGCAGCTCCAACTTCACCTCCTAGAAACACCTTCATTGACCAGCTGCTCTCCTCCCCAACTCTCTCTCCCTTTAGCCTTATGTTCTTTCTTCTATTATTATCTGAATTTGTTGTTTATTTCTTTGTCTTCCGTCTCCCTGCTCCAGAATGTTGCTTCCATGAAAGCCAAAACCTCCCTCTTGTCTTCTCCACTATGTCCCAAGCCCCTGGCACCTGGCACATAGACACTGCTTAATACATATTTGTTGAATGAATGACTGAATAAAAGGTGTCTGAGTTGAGCTGGATGGATCAGTAAGACTCAGCCAGTCTGAGAACAGTGGGAAGGGAAGAGAATAGCACACCAAAGACCAGGCGCATGAATTGGCATGATATGTGCAGGGGAACTATAAGCAGCTCAGTGTTACTAGACAGCTGAATGTCAGCAGAGAGTGGGGTATAGATGTGGCTGGTGATAAAGACAGGAACTAACTCTCAGAAACCATTGTCAGCCATGACCTTGTACTTTACAGTTTAGAGAGAGGGACACTGTCAGATTTCTATTCAGATCGGTGTTTCTCAAACATTTTTAACGAAGACCCAGAAGAACTACATTTTATATTATCTGTAAATTGGAATCTATCCCCAGACTTGAGAGGCCACCATATTTCTTGGCTCATGGCCCCCTTTCCCCATCTTCAGCACCACAGAAGCAGGTCTAGTCCTTCATGCGTTGCAGCTCTCGGCCGTCCTCCTCCACTTTTACATACTCATGACTAGATTGGGCCCATTTGCATGATCCAGGATAATTTCCCCATCTCACGGTCCTTAATTTTGATCACATCCCCAAAGTCCCTTTGTCATGTAACCTAATATATTCACGGGTGCCCTGTCCAGTGTGCTCAGTGGTTAGAGCATCAGCCCATGCCCTCTGAAGGGTCGAGGGTTTGATTCCCAGTCAGAGGCACATACCTGGGTTGCAGGTTAGATCCCTGGCACCGGTCAGGGTTTGTGTGGGAGGCAACCAATCAATGTGTCTCTCTCACATTGATGTTTCTTTCTCCCCCTCCACCCATACTCCACCCTCTCTTCCTCCCTTCCACTCTGTAAAAATCAGTGGAAAAAATATCCTCAGGTGAGGATTAACAAAAACAAAAAACAAAAAAAAAACCCCACAAAATAATAATAGTAATAATATATTCACAGGTTCTGGGGATTAGGGCATAGAAATCTTTCATGGGCCATTCTCCCTACCACAGGAATGTTTAGGGAGTTTTCTATAGCTCATATTCCTTCCCCCCTCCCTCTCTCCATCTCTCCTTCCCTTTCTCCCTCACTCCTTCCCTCCCTCCCTGCTTTTTTTCAATAAGTAGTTATTGAGTATTCTTTCTCAGTGCTAAGTGCTGGTATACAGCAGTGAGCAAGACAGTAAATGTTTCTGCTCTCATGGTGGCTTAAATTCAAATAAATAAGTAAATAAACAAGGTAGTTGCAGATTGTACCATGAAGGCAGTCAATAAGGCAATGCGCAGAAAGCAGCTAGCTGGGCAAGACCACTTTGACTAGGTGGTCAGGGAGGGGCTCTCTGAGGAAGTGACACATGAAATGAGATCTGAAGAATGCAAGTCAGTCAGCCACTGAGAACCGGGGAAGAGAATTCTAGCAGAGGAAATGGAAAGTGCAGAGTCCCTGGGCAGCAAAGGTCTTGCTTAACAAACAGTATGAATGTCAGTGTGAATGAAGCAGAGTGAGCAGGGCCCAAACACAAACAATGATGGTGGCATGACGGGAGAGATGAAGCCATGCAGTGGCTGAGAGATCGTGTGTGGTAAGGACTATGGATTTTATTCTAACAGCATTGGGGACCCTTTTGAGGGTTTTTAATAGTTTGGTGTGAAGAGGTCACATGATCTGATTTATGTTTTTAAAAAGTAGTTCACTATGTGAAAATGACTTAGAAAGGGGCAAAGATGAATAGGAGAGACACTTTAAGGGGTTATTATAGTCGTCCATGGGAGAGGTGACGATAGGGACTAGGGCAAGGATGGAAACAAAGGAGAGAAATGGAATGATCTGTGTTGTTTTGGAGGTAAAATTGACAGGACTTAATGATTTGGTTGCAGGGGATGAGAAAGAGGGTGGAATTAAGGATGACTTCTAGGTGTTATACCAACTTAAAGGATAAAAATGTTGTTCATTGAGATAGAAAAGGCTGGGGGAACAACCAATTTGAAGAAGGGAGACCTGAAATTCTAACTGAACATGTTACTATTGAGGCATCTGCTAGCCATCCAAGAAGTGATTCCAAGGAGACAGACATGTGAAACTGGAGCTCAGGGAGAAGTCTGAGTTGCAGATATACATCTGAGAGTCTTTAGCATACAGATGATAGAGAAAGGTAATCGGATGAGATCTCCCTGGAGACAGTAGAAATAGAGAAAAAATAATGCACTGGGTGAGCTGAGATCCTCCAACACTTAAACATCAGGAGAAGGAATAGCAACCAGCAAAACTGTTGAAAAGATGCTAATATTATTTGGGGCTACCCTGAGTGATGACTAGGCAAGAGGTAGAGGAGTCAAAGGAGCAAGTAGGCCTTCTTGGAAGCCCACTAGGACAGGACTATTGTGTCTAGCTTAAGACTGTGCCTGGCACGTGAAAAGGAGCTATCACTGAGTGAGTAAGTAAATTTTTCTGAGGCTCTCCAATAAGAGGTGGACATTTGTATTGGCTGGTTCCCAGTGGTCAGACATCAGAGAACTTTCCATGTTACTTTATGAATAGTAATTTGTCCACCTTTAATAGAATTTAGAGAATTTGCTAATGACTAGTAGAGCCATTAGCAAATTTAGATTTAAATTTGGAAACAATCAGAAATCACCAGTTTGCATATTCCAAACCATTCAAGGTGGAAATACTTGACAAAATAGTAAGTAATAAATAAACAAACACACAAGTAAGATTTAACTTCTATAGAAAGCCCAAACAACTCTCTTTAGAACCCTTGGAATTCCTTTCCTACTGCCAAAGAGACCAACCTTTTACTAAGTTCCGTGGTGAGGGGTAGGAGTTGGGATGGGGGGGGGGGGGTTGAGGCACTTTTTAATCTCCTGTTTCTTCCAGAAGGAGGTGACTAGATCGAAAATTCTCATTAGTCTTGAAATTTCACTACTGCGTTTGACTATGATGATGCAACCTGTTTGGAAGAAGAAAAACTGGTGTAAAACAGGCTTAGAAAGTTAAGTGACTTGCCAATAGCCTCGAAGTGTTTGAACCCAGTTCTTAAGGACTCCAAAAGCCACGTCTCTTCTCCCACACTTCGCTGACCCCAAGAAGCTTAAGTGACATGGAGGTTAGATATGGCTAAGATTTTCAATTTAGTAGTTTTAAAGATACACTTCATTATTTGAAAATAACAAACAAAATCTTAACAATGTGGAGAAAATTAAATGGGCATTTTAAACCCTTCTGAATGATGGGGGTTCTGGTATTTTCTGAACGTGTTTAACATGAACGAATCTGTTTTTTTTACAAGGAAAAATATAGATGTGTATTCCAGAAGTGACAGTTCATGGCACATACAGTCAGAGCATGCTATTGGGCACTTATTTTTGTCATTATGTTGCTGTTGGTTAAAGCAGAAATAGGTAAGATATTTATTTCTGTAATCTAATCTGAGGGAGGATTTGTGGTTTAAATTCTCAGTTACATATGAAATTTTCATTTGTGGTAAATGATCTGGTAGCTGGTCTTTTGTAGCCAGTCTTTTGTCATGTAAGTGGATAAGTCTGGTTCCATGTATGTAATTAATATGCATTTTATTTAATTTATACTAATGATTAAAATAAGAGTTCAATGATATCATTTCCTCTTAAGAAAATGGCTGGGTAGCTAAGTTCAGTATCATGAATGAATGTTTTACATTATAATGTCTTTTAACGAAGGGTATTCATGGATGAATTCAGCTTTTTTTTTTAAAAATAATGGCTGGTGTCTTGGCTGGTTTGTCTCAGTGGTTAGAGCATCAGCCTGCAGACCAATGAGTTGTGGGTTTGATTCCAGTCAAGGGCACGTACCTTGGTTGCAATTTTTCCCCAGCCCTGGTTGGGGTCCTATGGGAAGCAGCCACTCGATTGTCCCTTTCACATCAATGTTTCTCTCTCTCTCTCTCCCTCTTCCTCTCTTTCCCTTCCACTCTATCTGAACAAAAGTAGAAAAATGTCCTCGGGTGAGGATAAAAAAATAAATAATATAAATAATGGCTGGCATTTTCTTTGCTTGTTCTATTGGGAGCTTATTTTTGACTACTGGCCCGTTAGGATCAAAGATCAAATAAGCAGAAAACAAACATAAGATAAGAGAAAAAAGACTTAGTTTTATTTCTGAAAATAGAAGTGAGAACTTTTTATTTTAAATGAACTTTCAGTTCTTCTTTTACTTAATTAAATAACTTCTTAAAAATCAATTCCTGTTTATGGTAGTAGATCCAAGCAATCTTATAATTACCACCCAAAGAAGACTTTCAGTGACAGTTTTATATCACATCTAAATATTCAAGGCGAATCTATAATTCTAAGGTTCTTTCATCAGCAGTTGCTAAGTACCACCAAAAACTTAATTCTGAATAGTTGTCTCATTTATTTACACAAAATCTTCAGTAGTAAGAATGACCTCTTTTTTTTAAATGAGTTTAATGTAGTAACTGGCATATAGTAAGTAATATGGATAACTCTTTTTTAAAAGAAGAATACATTCATGTAATTTTATATTAGCTGTATTGAGTAATGGTTTATCCAGCCCAGAGTCTTACATCTTAAAGGAATATCAAACTATGGCATGGTAAGACCTAATTTTCAACCCTGTTGCCAACTACAAACACATCAGAGCCCCTGAATATTTTCTCTTATAAAATAATGTTATAGATTACACTTACTTTATATCACTAATATAGCAAAAGAGGGAATTATTCCCAAATCCGCCCTTAAAGTTTGTAATAGCCTTTTGAAATGGTCTCTCTTTTTTCTTTTTTGGTTTGAGTACTGAAGTAAACATTATAAATCATAAATGGGGATGGAAACAAATGAGATTTATTCTGGAAAGTACATTTTAGTAGTCTGGTGAATAATTTACATACAGAGAGATTGGCTTTTCCTGGAACTGTGTTCTTGAATGTTCTTCCAACCCTATTTTCTCACCACTTTCCTATTTATAGTTCTGGTTATAATGTTACTGTTTTGAGAGGAATGTGTGTTTTAATTCAGTTAGGCTTTAATATGGTTGCCTTCTGTTCTCATTGTGTCTCACCAATACAGCCAGAACAGCAGAGGTTGTTTATCTTTCCATGACTGGATGGGGTTAATTTTACCCTGCTTCAGGGAATCACACAGACTCCCCACTTTGGAATCGGTTTCTCCTGTGCCAGCTGAGTATCGCGTTTGTGTCTTTCTGCAGATGTGTGCAGAAGAGGAAATGTGACTGTGACGCCTTCCCGTGTAATTTCACTTGGGTCAGCTGTCAACATTTCATGCTCTCTGAAGCCTAAACAAGGCTGCTCTCAGTATTCCAGTTTTAACAAGTTAATCCTCTACATGTTTGACAAAGTGATCAAGTCACAGCGTGGCCACTCCCTCAGTTCTGAGATCTCAGGTCTCCCTCTGGGTACAACACTGTTTGTCTGCAAGATGGTCTGTGGCGACAGTGAGGGGATCCGAATATGTGGGGCAGAGATCTCAGTTGGTGGTAAGTATTCCATTCTGAATTCCTAAAAATTGGTGGTCTTTTGGTAATTGTCGTGTGTGAAGCAGAAATCCTAAAATAGGACAGTGTTCTTTCTTTTCCCACCACGTGGATATATTGTATCTTGATAGCAACATGCAGCACCAATGTGGTGTCATTTGGTAAGCCTCTATTCTCTCTCCCTTTCGCTCTCCCTCTCTCTCACCCCTCCCTCCCTTTTGTCATTAACACCATTTACCTGTTGTCCTTGGACACCAGTGGCAGGATAGTGGATTTCTGCAGCTGAGTCTTCATCCTTCTTGACTGATAAGAATTTGTTCAAAGCTACAGCCTCCTAAAAAGAACAAAGAGATGTCTCTTTTGACTTATGCAGCCCAGGCTGACTAGCCAAGGCCGAGCACTTCTGCCCTCTCTAACTTAATGCACAAAAGATAGTTCTTCCATCTATAGTCACTCCTGACCACTGATTATCATACTTAGCAGAGGTTAAAAGAAAACCATCATTATACTTATTATCTTTTCCTGGGTTTTCTAGAAAACTGCCCCGGGGGGGGGGGGGGCAAAACTGACTTGCTCACACTCCCTAGGGGGAGGAGAGTGGTACAGTTCTAGGGTGGTAAGAGTAAAGGAGCCAGGAACATAGCAAAGCAAACAAGATGGTTAAGTTACTGAGCTGGTCACAGAGTCAACGGAAAATACAGCTTGTTGCTTGGTCACTAGGGACATTCCCAGAAAGAACATGAAAATATAATGACAGGAGAAAGAAAGAAGAATTGAACTGTCTGCCATCGGTCAGAGTTCACTCACAGGGCATCGCTGCCCCACCCTGCTGGCTTACACTGCTGGTCCCCCCAGGCAGCTGCTGGGAATAAGAGCTAAAATGTGAGTTGGCTTCTGCAGCACGAGCCACCGTGCACAGAGTGAGCCAGCAGAACACCTGCCTGCAACTTGCAGCCTGCAGCCTTAAAGGCCCATACCAGCAAACCAGTGAGCGTGCATGGGTCCTGTGAGATGCCATGGTGCTCTGTGCCTCTGTGGTTCCAGGGAAGGTCCAGAGTAGCAAGTGAGAGGCATTAGGACAGTAGGAAGAATTGCTACAGCAGGCTCACCAAGGTGCAAGGACAGGGTCCCTGTCATAAAGACAGTGGTATATAGCTCAACGAGACTCGGTCCAGAGAAGAGGGAAACCTCTTTTCTGTGACCTATAAGGATATGGTTGATGCCAGGCAATCTTCCTGAAGAGTCACTAGAAGAATTGAACAGAACACCAAGCAATGGCAAGCAAATCACTGGGGGATAAAGAGACATAGACTAGGTCCAGTACTTCTCTTTCAGTCAGAGTGTCCTGTTCACATTACTTATGGGTCTCAACTCTGACAGTCTGTGGTGTCATAAGCGGAGCATGGGCTTTGAATTCCAATCCTGCAAGTAGCAATGTACCGTTAGACAATGTCTCAGAGCCTCAGATTCTCCATCTGCATTATGAAGATACTAACACCTACCTCATAAGATGGTTGCCGTGATTAGATGACACCTTGTATGCAAAGTGCTTAATCCAGTACCAGGCACATAGGAGGTACATAGGTCATGAGTGCTAAGATTGCACTTCTGTCCAGTTTTACTTTTTTTTTCACGTGTGCAGTGTGCTGGGTAGCTGAACGTGATTCTCTTAAGAGAAAGCATAAACGTTGGTTATAGACAAAATGAAAATGTTTCTAAAACATGCCAATGGTCCTCACCTCCCTTGTCCTCAGAACACCTGAATTTTTCACCCAGGTAATTTGCCATCTTACCAGACTGACATTACATATTTTTGTTTGACATTCCCAGCCCTGTGATGTCAGTTCCAGGTGTCCACTATAGGGATAGAGGTTTGGTGGATGAACAAAATGTAACCTTGTGATATACATTCTCACAGCCTGGCCAGCCTAGGATCAAAGTGTATGTGGACAGATAGGTTTGCTTGGAGGACAGGAAGATCGCCCTGTTTGGAACTGAATGTTTTGTTTGCATGTGAACAGATAAGGTTTGCATTTCAAAGGGTTGGAAGACCACCCCAAGAGAATAATGGGCAAGGAAGCCCAGGCAAGGATGGATTTGTTATTTTTTTTTATCTTTGATATCTCTTTGCCTTAAAAAGTGAGAGACAGAGCCTGGCTATATGGTCAGCAGAGGAGCCATCTCAAGGAAATAATTACCTAAATCAACATGTAACCTGGGAAACCACTTTGCAAATAAATTGGGCTACATCCAGAGATCTGGAGCATCTTGCTCTCTTGCAATGCTCCCCCTCACTCCTACCAGCATGTGCTTGTAGTTCAATGCATCGTGCTGACCTCCAGCAGGCTGAGAGAGACGGCAGTCCACAGTGCTGCTGCCCTTTTCTTTCTTAGGACGCTAAAAACAGCCTCAGAAGTCAGTATCCTTGCAGATGTCCTTAGCCATTCTGTTCTGTTTCCTATCTTTGCTCACATAAATGAGAGTGCTGCAACGCCTTGTCATTTTTCACTTTTCCACCCAGAGTATGCAGATGCATCTGTTTGCAGCCTCAGAAGATCTAGGGAGATGATGAGGGGCCTCTGTCACCATGCAGCTCAGTGGGTGGTGCTGCTTGCCAGAATGTTGCTTGTGCACCATGCTCGCGTCGTAACCACACCATAACATGGCTGCTCTTTGAGCAGTTTAGCACCTTTGAGGTAAAGGACTGACTGGAAGCAACACCTTTTTCTGATTATGGCTAGTCATTCCAAGAAAAGACGCAATGAATTTTGGTTTCACCCATGTAGTAAGCTTAATCCTATCTAGTGAGAGAGTAAGCAGCCTGTTTTCTCTTTAGTGATAAATGGCAGTGCACAGTGCCGTTGCATATATGACCTGAGAGGGCCTGTATAGTTGGCGGGTTCTTCAGAACTGGGAATGGGAAAACAGCCTTCAACCTTTTCTTCCCTGCCCCTTTCCGGGCTTGTGTTGATCTGCTATCTAGAGCTCATCCCAATTGTGTAGTCACTAAGCAATCAGTGCATTAGCGTAACCTCATAGGATTGATCCACAAACTCTTTAAATATTCAAGGCAATAAATGAAAGACAGTGGATTTTTGTTCAGTTGTTTTCATTATATGTTTGGCTATTGATCATTTCTAAAAGCTATTTTTTTCTAAGACTTTTTATTGCCCATGATAAGAATAGCTTTTAAAAACAATAACAATCAGGTAGAGAAAAAAATGGCGGCAGAGTGAATGGAAGTTACACAGATGATCTCCCAGGACCAAAAGGGAATTACAACTAAAATAAAGACAAATCATCGGAAAAAAGCAACAGAAAAGCAGCGGGACAGGACCATATAACCAGGGACACTAGTAGGATCTTCGGAGGCATGAGAGGGTGGCAGGCTGGGAGCCCACAGACAGCAGCAGTCTTAGCTGTGAGCAGCACCCTCAGGGATAAAATACCAAGCCTGCTCCACAGCACAGAGGGCCAGAACAGAGCATTAAATTAGCCTCAGCCATTCACCTGGGTTTCCAGCAGAGGGAGGGAGGACTGGACTGGAACCCTGTGGGGACACCCAGGATTTGGAGGGTGCTCAGTCTTTTCTGAGTCACAGCCACAAAGGACGATGGCCAGCTTGCTCCTTCCCGGCCACACAGGATGGTGACCAGCTTACTCCTTCCCAGAACTATGGGGAAAAGCAGCAGCCCCTCCCTCAGAGATTCAGCCCCTTCCAGGTGAGGCAAGGAAATGCAAATTGAGGCTCATTAACAACCAGCATCTGTCCCACCTCTGGAAATCCTCTTACACAGAACACCAGAAGGCTACATTCCAAGACCCTGAGTAACTGAGACTAATAGCCTCCAGGCAAAAAAACTAGAGGATAACTGAACCTTTCTTGAGCTTGCAAATCTACCCAGGAAAGTAAGACTTGACAGTGGTGTTTAACGTGGGCCCTCCCACACTCATCTAAACCCAGTAGAGGGAGCCACAAACAGCAGGACACCAACACCCACAGGGAAAATTTGGTAGGCTCCAAAACCCACTGAGACAGCCAAAATGGTGAAACAAAGAAACAAATCCCAAATGAAAGAATGAGAACTCTATCGAAGAAGAGATAAATGAAATGCAGTTAAGCAAGTTATCAGAGCTAGAGTTCAGAGCCATGATCTTGAGGAAGCTCAACAGCATGAGTAAGAACATCAACACCATGAGTAAAGCTATAGAAGCATTGAAAACCAACCACGTGGAAATAAAGCATGACGTAGAAGAAATAAATAACACATTGGAAGGACTAACCAGCAGAGTAGAGGAAGATGAGGACCAGATCAGTGAATTAAAAGACAGGGTAGAAAAAAATCAACCAATCAAAAAACCAAAAGGAAAAAAACAATTAAAAAACAGGAAGACAGCCCTGGCCGGTTTGGCTCAGTGGTTAGAGCATCGGCCTGTGGTCCGGAGAGACCCAGGTTCGGTTCCCGCTAAGGGCATGTACCTTGGTTGCAGTTTGTCCCCAGCCCTGGTTGGTCGTGCGGGTAGCAGCCACTCGATGTGTCCCTTTCATATCGATGTTTCTCTCTCTCTCTCTCCCTCTTCCTCTCTCTCCCTCCCACTCTACCTGTGCAAAAAATGGAAAAATGTCTTCGGGTGAGGATAAAAAAAAAAATAAAAAAAAACAGGAAGACAGCTTAAGAGAACTGTGGGACAACTGGAAACATAATAACATTCGCATCATAAGAGTCCCCGAAGAAGAAGAAAATGAGCAAGGGTTAGAGAATATATTTGAAGAAATAGTGACAGAAAACTTTCCTAACTTGGTGAAGGAGGAAGGCATTCAAGTTCAAGAAGCACAGAGAGCCCCAAGTAAGAAGAACCCAAACAGACCCACACCAAGACACATAGTAATTAAAATGCCACAAATTAAAGACAAAGAGAGAATCCTAAAGACAGCAAGAGATAAGCAACAGGTTACCTACAAAGGAACCCCCATAAGGCTATCAGCTGACTTCTCAACAGAAACACTACAGGCCAGAAGGTAATGGCATGAAGTCATCAAAGTCATGAAAAACAAGGATCTGAATCCAAGACTACACTATCCAGCAAGGCTGTCATTCAAAATAGAAGGTCAAATAAACAGCTTTCCAGACAAACAAAAAAGGCTAAGGGAATACATTAGCACCAAACCAGCACTGCAAGAAATGTTAAAAGGACTGCTGTAATTAGTAGAAGAAATAGGAAGAAAAATATAACCACACTAAACAAAAATGGCAATAAATAAGTACATATCAGTAATCACCTTAAATGTAAATGGTTTAAATGCGCCAATAAAAAGACACAGAGTAACTGACTGGATAAGAAAGCATGACTCACATATATGTTGTTTACAAGAGACCCACCTTACAACAAAAGACTCACATAGGTTGAAAGTGAAGGGATGGAAAAAATCTTCCAAACAGAAAGGAAAAAAAAAGTTGGGGTAGCAATACTCATATCTGATAAATTTGATTTCAAAATGAAGGCTATAACTAGAGACAAAGAAGGCCACTACATAATATTGAAAGGATCTATCCAACAGGAAAATATAACCTTGGTAAACATATGCACCCAATATAGGAGCACCAACATATATTAAAAAATCTTCTTTGTGGAATATAATGAACATAACAGTCTGAAGAACAGGGTAGTCCCAGAGAAGTGGAAGTAGGGTACAGACTGAAGAGGTGGGGTGTATAAACCACAGAACTTGTATGCATGTACAAGTTCCAATGGACTTGGACAACAAAGCTGGGGAGAGGGTGGGGAGGGAGAGGGAGGAGGGTGTCAATGGGGGGAAAAGGAGAAACATCTGTAACAAAAATAAATTTAAAAAACCATTTAGGTAACTTGTGGTTTATAATCACTTAAAATATTTTGTATAAGAAATGTTTGGATTAATAAAGAATAACTTACCTTCTAAAAAAATAATAATAACAATCATAATAATCATAACAATTTATTATACACTATTTTATTTTTAGAGGTTTTGATTTTCTGTCCTTTTCTCGGCATCAGCTATTATACATTTGTACTGAGGAGAATTAGATCTGGTTTCCTCTGGGACAGACCGTCTCTGCCAAAACCAAGTCCTGGGCTGCAGTAGAAACCTTGATTTCATGGTCCGGGGAACTCATATTGAGAAAGATGACTTGTGGGTTAAAGCCATGGTCTTTACAAATCAGAGTCTCTGCAAACTTTAATGAGTAAAGGTGAAGATGAGGACTAACCTTTTCATTATGTAAAAGTGCCAGGTATTTTGTATCTCATTTGGTCATCAAAAGACCTTACAAAGGATTAGGGTAAAGGTGGTGTTTTGAACATATGTACTCTCATCCCCCCTGAAATAAAACCAAGATGCAATAAAGAAAGTTTTCTAGAGGCACAAACCCTAAGGGACAAAAGGAATGGGAGGAGAGAGACAAGAACAGCATTTTGGAAGCTGGAAAGCAGGTGGACCAACGGTAACTGGCTTAGCCCACAGCTGGCTGTGGGGAAAGTCGAGATGCAACCTGATTTCATGCAGAAGCTCCTACCCCAGGAAGACTCAGAAACGGATGCTGCCATATACTTCTGGGCATGACAGTAAAGTGGGGTTGAAAATGAAAAGTTGATTGAAAGTCTATTTAAAAAACAGACTTTGATTTCTAAAACAGGATTCTTTGATTTCCTTCCCAATTCCATGTAGCCAGACAGTCACTGCCCCCACTACACTGGCATAAGACTGTGGGCTTGGTATCAGAGAGTCACTGAACCAGTTTCAGCAGTTTGATTGAGATTGGCAGTGCTATCCTGAAAAACAGAAGGATTGAAGGAATGTTTGCATACAGCTCCCATTAGATCCACTTCCAGGCTGATTTGAAAATCCTTTTCTGGAAAATCTGGCCAGGCCAAGAGGAAATATCTAAACTGAAAACAGAGAGGCCCCAGAAGACCTAGTCAGATCACCCTGGAGGGAAACCCAGAGTCAGCAAATACTCCTCAACTAACACACACAGAACTCCAGTCTTGAATGTAGTGCCCTGTTCCTATGTGTGAGTGAAAGTACAAGGATCTGAGGAAAACGTCTAACACAAAAGACAGAAACCAAAACAGACATGTGAAATAAAACGTATAAGCTAAGTGTAAGAGTGTATTTAGGGAGAGAAAATGTTAAAAAACAAAAACTACCCTTGATGCCCTTGGAGAACTAAGAGGAGATATTACATACAGAGCAAAATAGGATGCTATAAAAAGAAAATATTTGGAGACTAGAAAGTATGCTTCCCTCCCTCCCCAAATAAGCAGAAATAAAAAACTCAGTAGGAGGGTAGATATATAAAATGAGGAAGTTTTTCCCTCATACTAGAGCAAAGAGAACAAGAGTTTTAAAATATAGGGGATAAGATATAAAATTAAGAAGAAGTCCAACCTATGAAAACTAGGGATTTTTAGTAAGAAGAAAAACATAGAGGAGAGAATCTCAAAGATATAAATCAAGAATGCTTCCCAAACTAAAGGACAAAAGTTCACAGAATGTTTGAATTCCTTGAGAAGCCAAAGAGTGAAAGAAAATAGACCCTCATTAAGCACATCTTTGTGAAAATTCAGAATAGCGGGGACAAAGAAGATTAAACAATCTTCTGAAGAGAAAAAATAGACCATTACAGTGGCTCAAGAATCAGAATGGACTTGGGCTTCTCAACAGCAGCCTAGAATATAAAATACCACAAAACATGGCCTTGAGAATCCTGAATGAAGATGCTTTTCAACCTAGAATTTTATACTGAGCCAAAGTATCAGTCAAGAGTGAGGGTAAAGACCCTTTAACCTATGCTCAAAATATTTCTTCCCCTGCACTGTTTCCCAGGTAGCTACAGGAATATATATTCCACCAAAACACATAATTAAATCAAGAAAGAAGAAAGCATTGGATCTAAGAAACAGGAACTCCCACACAGGAAAAGAGAGAATTTCCAGGACACTGAAGATTGGCAGTCCCAGGATGACAGCTGTGTACCAGACATAGAAGCAAACCAGTCATATTGGAAAGTTCCCAATGCTCCAAGAAAGAGGGCTTCAAGAGATGAATCTGATAGAATTCCCAGTGCCTCTGAATATCTTTAACAGTGACTCAGATAATTGGCTTGAGAGTTTAGAACTATATTAATAATAATAAACATTAAACAAATGGAAAAACAAGAATTAACTCCAAAATAAACAAAAAGTTATACATAGAATGAAAAGTTAGTATAATTTTTACATGCCTCATTCAGAAGTTGTTTATATAGATGTATAAAGTGAATATGTACATATACATTAGTATATGTGTATAATATATGTACATACAAGGAAGAGTCTATTTTTCTAGGAAGAGAGTTTATTATTCCATTAAACAAAACTATATGAGCTATATATTATTATACCCATTTTATAGATAAACTGAAGCTTTGAGAGGTTTGCTTGGCAAGGTCACACAGTTGGCAATTACTTTGCCTGGTCTATGGCATGTACTAAGGACAAATATATATATATATCAATTACAGCTTTTTTTTTGGTGTGGACAATATCTAGGGCTTTAGTGGTATACTTGCTTTGTCTCACCCAAAAGAAACATCTTTCTACAGGTGGGTCTCAGTATGAGGGTAGAATATGATGACTCTTCTGAGAAACTCCTCACTTTGGGTTCTGTCTTTGACTATAAAATGTCTTCATTTAAAAATGCACACCTTATGATAGAAGGAACCATGTCTGGTGTGTACACCTTTTATTTCCACAGCTAGCCCTGTGCCTAGCCCATGGAAGCTACTCAGTGTCTATTTACATACATAATTAATTTACAAGTGTTCATAAAGTATGTACTCCAAGTGATGCTGCAGAAATTAGATTTAGGTGGTACTGCCCAGAAGAACATGAGTAGGGCCAGTGGGTAGAAATGTCTCACCAGAATATTTTAGGTCAATGGAGAAAAAGAATCCCTAATTTTTAAAGGTTTCTAATATCTGAGTGGGCTTTATTCTGGAAAGGTAAACTCAGCGTCACTAGGGTGACAGTAGCCCTGAAGATTCACCTGCCAGGGAGAAGAGGAGAATATGGTGGTGTAAGGCTTGGACTTAAGTCAGCCACACCTGGGCTGGAGCCCTGCTTCTGCCACTTTGTAGTTTTGTGATCTTTGGCAAGATACTTCACCTCAAAGTCGTAGCTTCTCTTCAATAAAGTGAGGACAATAATAGTATATATGTAATGTAGCTGCTGTGATGTCTAATTGAAAAAAACCACACCTGAAACACTTAGCATAGGACTTGGCATATAGTAAGTGTTTGATCCGTAGTTGCTATCATTGCCATTGTTAGTAGAAAAAATTCATGCCTCAGAGGCAAATTTGAACTTGGTGGGATCTAAAATAGATACCAGATTGAGTGTGGGACATATAAAGTACTGTTATCTTGTTGACAAATAATAACAATGTGACTGAAATATCACTTGTGTGGCATTTAAAATATATAGCTTTGCTTTTTATTTTTAAAGTTGTTTCAGAACAGCCTCAAAACTTATCTTGTGCACAGAAGGGAGAACATGGGATGGTGGCTTGCACCTGGGACAGAGGACGAGACACCCACCTATATACGACGTATACTTTACAGTGAGTGAGAGACTGTTTTTGCAGCTTTTTTGTGGATCTTCTGTAAAATGACATTTAGAAATATCTAATAGTTCTTGTTTTACCAACGAGAAGAAGCAATAAACAGCTCTAGACGATTAGATGCTTTTAAAACAATTCTAGTGTTCATCAGTTAAACTGGTTCATTCATCTAAAGTGTAAGAACTGATGTCTTGGGTCTGAGGTCTAACTCGGAGTTCTCTTCAGGGTATCTAAGGCCCATGCTACGGACATTCTTCCCTGCTCTTGGAGGGTAAACTGGCTGCATCATATATCCTTTTCTTTTTTGCAGATCTGGACACTTATGGTCATGATATATAAAATAGACTCTTCCTTGTGGGAGCTTTCCATCAGCCTAGAAGGAGTTTCTTTCCAGGCAAAGTTCACAAAGAGAGAGTCTGGGAGATTCTGTTTGCTGCAGTTGATTCCATAATCCCATCTAAGGATCCCGATGGGTTGCACTATGCCTTAGTGAGCAGCAGATGGGGAAAAGGAAGTGGGGCCCAGGGTTCTGGTTTGTACTAGGAGCTGGCACTTCTGTGCAGTAAATGTCAAGGTGACCATGGATCCTTTGGATCTTATCTAAGGAGCCAAGCTGTCATGCAGGGTTTGGGAAATTCAGACAGTATAGGTATCGTTACTCATCTATATGAACATCAAAAAATCTCAGTCCTACCAAAAAAAGGGATTGGGGGAAGTATGGTCCTATTTATGATCCTAGACTACAAATACTTCCATAATGCATCTTCTAGTAATAAGACTAACATTTAAAATATGTCTAGAATTTTAAGTATTTGAAAGTTTTGTTGTTTTGTATTAAAAGGAGAAAGTAGCACACCACATGTCCTACTAAACTCAAATTGTCTCTTTTATTTCTTTTTTCACAAATTGTCTTTTATTTACAGGTTAAAGGGACCAAAAAATTTAACTTGGCAGAAGCAATGTAATGGCTATGATTGTGACCATTTGGACCTTGGAATCAACCTAAGCCCTGAATCACCTGAATCCAGTTACACAGCCAAAGTTACTGCTAGCAATAGTCTTGGAAATGCCTCTTCATTTCCATCCACATTCACATTCTTGGACATAGGTACATTTATTATTTTTTTATTTTTTATTTTTTATCCTCACCTGAGGACATTTTTGCATTTATCTTCAGATAGAACGGGAGGAAGAGAGGGGGGAAGAGAGAGAGAGAAACATCAATGTGAGAGAGACACATGGACTCGTTGCCACCCACATGACCCCAACTAAGGTGGGGATAAACTGCAACCAGTTTCGTGCCCTTAGCAGGAACTGAACCCGGGACTCTCTGGTCCACAGGCCTCCTCTCTAACCGCTGAGCCAAACCGGCCAGGGCAACATAGGTACATTTTATTTCATTTTTTGTGGGTGTCATACATTGGCACATGAACATTATTTTTAAAATCACTCAAATGTTCTATATGTGAGTATTTCAAAAGAGGCAGCAATTGATGGAAAATGACCAACAGGCATAGGCTGAGGATAAACATTACTTTGATGCAAGTAAAAATGTGCATGATCCTAGAGCTATATAGAGATGGTTGTATAAAATGAGGTATTTAACATTATTCTCTACATTGGACAAATAGGAGCCCCCAGCTTCAAATTCCATGAAGGCATCAGCTGCCAATAATACCATCTGACTGAGAGAGGGTCCTGTGAGTTTATTCAGGAAGCTCAGTGTAGGCCCATCTTGGTAGAGGTTTCTTGACCCCCATGGCTACGCCATTGTTCTGAGTTAGGCTACATGTAGACCAGCTGGGCTGGAGCAGTCGGTGCAAACTACAACTAAAGTGCATCAAGGTTTAAATGCACCTGGCTCTTCGAATACTTATCTCCACTCCTCTCAGCTTGGTTGCTGGAATGAACCAGTCCAAGCACATTTCTGAGAAACTATAATTGGCCCTGTTGAATCAAAGACCAATCTCAGGCATTCTCAAGTTCTTCCCATCCCAGGTAGGACTGGGTTTCTGGTCTTCCTGAAGTCCTCGCCTCACGCTGTGTGTTTCTCTTCTCTCTTCCCACAGCACCTCTTCGCATCCATACTGCTAACTGTAAGTCTGAACATAGGCATTGACTGTGCATTTTCCTATCACGCTTCTACCTTCCATCTTTTTACATAGACATTTCTAAGCCACCTTTTCTCTCTTACTCTTTTCTTCTGTTCCCCTGTTCCTATGTCCATTCTAGCGACTTTTCTACCAACATTTCTTCTCCTGGAGCAGTTGCCACTAGCCACGTCTGCCTTCTCAGCCATGGGAACTCTCAGATTTGGCACATTCGTTTTCTTTATATCATTGGATTAAATGGAATCATCGCTATCATTAATGTTGGTGGTAGTTTATTTGGTGAAAATGAGGGTAGATTGACTGGAATTATTTTAATGATTTAGAAACAAATCAAACTTTTCCCTCCTTCTAAAAGCCAGGGACTTCTCTCTTGTTTATTTCACCAAATTTGGTGGTCATACATCTTAGAGATGAATTTTGTTCAACTCTTTACAGCTTATGTCAGTACATAAGACAATTTATGATTATGGAGCCTAAATCATACTTTTTTTTTGTTTATCCTGGTTACCAGTGAAGCCTCTTCCTCCGTGGGACATCAGAATCAACTTTGTAAATGATTCTGTGAGCAGATGCACTCTTCAGTGGAGAGATGAGGGCATGGTGCTGCTTAATCGACTCAGATATCGGCCCAGTAACAGCAGGTCCTGGACTATGGTAATGGTCGTGAGAGTGAAGGAGGAAAGCAGGGAGAGATTCTTATTATTACTGCACAGATCTCTGTCTTTTCATACCAACAAAATACTTAGTTTAAGAATATTTGCCCAAAATATAACAGAAAGTCAGATACACCTCTGTCTATGAAGAAATATCTTGAATTCTAGTCACTGATTTTGGAATATTTTAAGTTGCAAGCTTCTGTAGACCTGGATTCATTTTCTATATTTTATTTCTAATAAAGGGCTCGTTTCTCCTTGTTTTTCTATCCCCAGCCCCATTATTACTTTTTAGTAATTTTTTTAACATATTGGAAAGAGAAATACTAGAGATAATCATCCCTAGAAGCTTATATAGAATTTAATGTTCCAAAGATAAAGCCCCACACTTTGCTGTATTAGGCATTAATTTTTTTATAATACAAAGTATAAGATTATAATTCCTTCCAGTATTTCTGTAAACTATAATGTCTTATAATGACAAAGAATCAGTTTTACATATAACTGACATTCAAGACAGGCATATCTCTTGAATGTCCGCTATATGTAAACATTCTTATATAACTAAAGTTTTGAATCCAGTTCTATGTTGATATAAGTGTTAAAATATGCATCGATTTCTAATTGTGACCCAATAACAAACAATCTCTAGGGTAGAAACTTCTTCAAGACCTTTGGAAAATTGGTAGTTTTCAACCTATATTTCTTTTCCAGCTAGTTTTAGGATCCCCCTTGGAACTTAATAGATAGGTTCCTAGTCTCAGGAGTTTTTTTGGTTTTGTTTTTTGAGACACTATTATTTCAACTTAACATCATGTGTATTCAATAACCCAGCCATGTATATTTCTTCATTGAATGACATCCAAAAAAAAAATAAAAAGGGTTACCTGGTCTAGTTTTTTACCTTTATGTTAAAATTATTTAAATTAATGTAGTATTAATATGCACCTTTGAAAATCTTGTCTGATTGAAGGTTAATACTACAAATGCCAAAGGAAGACATGATTTGTTGGACCTGAAACCATTTACAGAATATGAATTTCAGGTTTCCTCTAAGCTACGTCTTCATAAAGGTAGTTGGAGTGACTGGAGTGAATCGTTGAGAACGCAAACACCAGAAGAAGGTATGTGTCCAAAGAAAGCAGGATGGTGAGGAGGGGGAAGAAAGAAAGGAGGAAAGGAGGAGGATGCACTGATTTCCTTGGAATAGAATTTCTAAAGTACCGATACTGATTGCATTAATTAACAAGTGAATTTTTCACATGGACTTGGGTGCCAAAACTGTCAGAGATATATGTTTATAGCACTAGGAAATTTTTAACATTAGGTGAGTCCTACTCCTGTTTGGCACATGTTGTCATGTTGGTTACAGGCTTATGGCTCAGTACTGTTTGGTTATAACTCTTATTTCTATTGCACTTAACTATCTCAGTAACTCTCTCATGCCAGATAATAAAACAATGGATTTTTCCTCTGTGCCAAATTTACACAAATTATGAAAAGTTCCATACTCTATCACTAATTGAGAACTTTTGAATATTTATATTCAGATGGTTATTTCCTGTGCTAAACCAGTATTTAATTTCATTCTTTCATAGTTAAACCTTGATACATTTTACCTTTTGGAGTCTATGAAAATTAATTTGGCTTTAGGAGCTACTAAAAGCTTGAAAGAAGGACGATTCTGGAGACATACATTTTAAAATAAAATTTAACATCCAGCAATCTTTCTCCTCCAAATATTGCAGCATTGCATTGCTTCAAGGCTTTGACTCACTGTTCAGACAAGTGCCCAACAGACTGCCCATAACCATGAAAAAGATATCAAATATATTTTTCAGTCTTATGAGCTTTCTTTTTGGTAATTACTGGGAAGATAATTTATTGAAGTATAATAAAATATTTTACTAAACCAAAAATGCTTATATGAGCTAATGCCAGTGTTAACAAATCTTTGGAAGCACAGGAAATAACCATCTGAATATAAATATTCAAAAGTTCTCAATTAGTGATAGAGTATGGAACTTTTCATAATTTGTGTAAATTTGGCACAGAGGAAAAATCCATTGTTTTATTATCTGGAGATTTTGTAACATTAGTGCTTATTTATGAAACTCATGGATGTGTGTATATATGAACTAGCCTTGTGATTAAGTTACATTTTCTATGAGCTAGTAATGGCTTTTGGTAATTGATGACACTTATCATTGATGACTCAATAACATTCAAATACCTAAAGAAACTATTAATAAAATAAAATTTCTGATATGCAGATGATAGGATAATTGTTTATTCTTCCCTTCTCCTTGTATGAATTGCATTTCTTTATTTTTAAAAAATGTTTTAAAATGAATTCATTCAACAAATTAGAATTTATTTCCTCTCTTTTCATGATAAAAAAATCTCTTAAATTAATATTGAACCATTTACTCTCTGCTTAAATGCTTGCCATTTTTATAATCCAGTGCTTACTCTTATTATCCTTTTATTACACATATAGTCAAAGTAATGTATTTTTTAAATGTACTTCATGGATTTTATTTTATTTATACATAGTTCAGATAAAATTCTTGGAAATGGGCCATATTTTATATCTAAGTTTAAGGTAGGAAATAGGCTGGGGGAAATATTTGTTATATCACATCAGGCTAAACAATAAACAAAGGAAACTCTGGGCTTGTGAATTCTTGTAATTCTTACTGACCCAAATTTGATAATGACTTGTTTAGAGATGTGTTAAAAGGGTTTTCTCTCTTTTAGAGAGATAGGAAGTGAGAGGGAGAGAGATAGAAACATCATTGAGAGAGAACACTGATTGGCCACTTCCTTCATGCCCCCCACTGGGGATCGATCAGGCCCACAACCTGGGCATGTGTCCTGTCTGGGAATCGAACTGGCAACCTCTTGTGCCTGGGTCAGCGCTCAACCACTGAGCCACACTGGCTGGATGGTTTTCTCTCTTTTAAGTGTTTATCTATTTAATTAAAAACCCTTCAAGCCCTGGCCAGTTTGGCTCAGAGGTTAGAGCATCGGCCGGCAGAACAGAGAGTCCCTGGTTCGGTTCCTGCTAAGGGCACGTACTTCAGTTGCAGTTTGTCCCCGGCCCCAGTTGGAGTCGTATGGGTGGCAGCCACTCTTTGTGTCTCTTTCACATCGATGTTTCTCTCTCTCTCTTCCTCCCTCTCTCCCTCCCACTCTATCTGAAGATAAATGCAAAAAAAAAAAAAAAAAAAAATGTCCTCGGGTGAGGATGAAAAATAAATAAAAACCCTTCAAAATAGGACAGTAACCTTCTCATATTCTATAAAATAAACCACCATCATAACAATGAGTGCAGCAACTTGCTATGGTTAAGAACTCCTGGATGGTTGTGAACTGAACCAATTCCTCTCTCAGAGTGATTGCAGGCATTCATAAAGAGAGAAACCCATGCTCCAAAATAGACCATGGTCCCCAAGCTCTGCTGGCTTCCTTCCCATGTCTGAATCTCCCTTTTTGTTGTTTCATCTTTCTGTGGGTGATTGTAGGACCTCTTTTCTCTTATTCTAAGTTGCATGGTTTTCACCTCTTACCACTATTTCTGTCATCAGTTTCTTTATGAAACACCAACTGATGTAAACCTAAAAGGTGTGAAATTTTTTTAGCACGCCTTCCTTTTAACCCTTTAAATATGTACTCATATGTAACTTGGCATTTAAAAAATTACTAGTAAGCTTTTTTTTTTTTTTTTTTTTTAGTTACTCTAAAACTGAATGATTCTTTGCTGCCAAAACTGAGAGCGAAATGTTGTCTCCTGGTAGATTGGGCGCAGTTATTTATACTGTGTCAGCAGAAAACGCGACCATTATTTACTCCACATGGCCTTTTCCTATGTCATTAAATATAACTACAGTGATGGTCCTCCATGAAAAACACTTTTTAAATGACCACTAAGTAAGGGGTAGGAGGAAAGAAACCACTGTGTTTAGGACAACCCCACAGTCACTGTCCACCAAAGGCAGGTTTGATGCTGGGAACTGAGCAGCCACAGTTTGCTTCTAGTGGCAAAACACTCTGGAGTTTAGGCTGCGCATGTCCAGACATGCCTGAGAATATGTTCAGGTTTTGGGGGTAAGGTGATCCCTCACCCTCAGAACACCCGGGAGGAGGCTCCAAAATAAAGATGAATGAGCCATTCCTTAGGACTGTATTATCACTTTGGTGTTTCACCATTTTTTCAAGTCTTATTTTCAAGTTTTGGTCTTGCTAAACTTTACTTACTAAAGTGTTACATTCTCCTACTTGTTCCAGAATGGTAAAGCAGGAGCCCTTCCCCACCCTGGTGGTGTTGGGTGACTAGTGAGAGGTCCCCAAAGAGGGAGAAAATGCAGGCTTACCCGCTGCACCCACGCTTTCTCACACTGAGAAGCTTGGCAATTCCTTCATTCATTTGTAATTTTAAAATGTTGCTAAAATTGGTGAGGTGTGAACAATTAAATGCTAGAGGTTATTTTACCATCTTGGTTAGCAAGCATTTCATAACAGTCTAGCTTAGAGGTCAGCAAACATTATTGTAAAGGTCTAGAGAGTAAATACTGTATTTTTGGCTTTGTGGGCAATACAGTCTGTCTCAACTACTGAAATTTGCTATTGTAGTGCAAGCAGCCATTGAAAATGTATACTTAGACAAAGCTGTGCTCCAATAAAACTTTATGAACACTGAAATTTGAATTTTATGTCATTTTCACATGTCACTAAAAATGACTCTTCTTTTGATTTGTTTTCAACTATCTAAAAATGTGAAAATCAGCCCAGCTGGTGTGTCTCAGTGGCTGAAGTGGCCAGTTCGATTCCCAGTCAGGGCACATGCCCAGATTATGGGCCTGATCCCCAGTGTGGGGCACACAGGAGGAGGACGATCGATGTTCTCTCTTGTCAGTGTTTCTATGTCTCTCTCCCTCTTCCCTCCTCTCTCTCTCTCAACTCAATAAAGAAAAATTATTTAAAAAAAAGTTTTGTAATGTAAAAATCATTATTAGTAGTACACAGGCTATACAAAAACAGGGAATGTGCTGGTGTGGCTCGGTTGGGCATCGTGCCATGCACCAAAGGGTTGCTAGTTCGATTCATAATTGGCACATGCCTGGGTGGCATATAGGAGATGGCTGATCGATATCTCTCACTCATGTTTCTCTCTCTCTCTCCCCCACCCCCTTCCTCTTTCTAAAAATTAAAGAAAAGGAGCGGGGTGCCAGTTTGGTCCATGAGCCATAGTTTGCTGACTCCTAAACCAGTTAAACTTGAAGTATCATAATTATGCGCTAGGTTTGGCAACACCGGGTTTATTGCCCACCAGAAGTGATGGGCACAGAACCTCAGCTGGTATGGATGAGAATGAGTGTGAGGTGAGGAAACAAAACAGCGACAATTCACAACTCTTCAAGAAGGTATTTGAAGGGGAGCAGACATGCAGGGCAGTCGCTGGGACAGGATGTGGTATTGGGAAACGCTTTCTCTTTGTTTTTGGTTTTAGGATTAGAGATAATATAGTACAGTGATTTTCAGCCTTTTTCATCTTATGGCACACATACACTTTTTACTAAAATTCTACAGCACACCAAATATATAGTGTATTCTTTGCCGATCTGACAAAAGAAAAATAGGTATAATTTTTATTTGTTCACACCAGACAGTTATTGTTGTGTTGGCTATTGTCATTTTTTATTTTACAGTCTAAGGGGAAAAGGTCAGTGCTCCTGACTAAATAGTCAAGTATTACATATGTTTTAAAAATTCTTGCAGCACACAGGTGAAAATCACTGATATAGTATATTTATAAAGCAATGATAAGGGCCCAGCAGAGAGAGAGATGTTAATGACACAGTAAAAGTGGGGGAGAGGTCCTGGATAAAGCAAGAGAGAATGGGATTCAGAACTCGGTTAGGAATTTTGATGTAGGCAGAGATGCTTCATCCATTGTAAAATCAGTGGGGGTGCTGTGTGAGGGAATTGGTGAAGTCTGAACATTTTCATGGTGGAAAGATGAGGAAATTCCTGCCTGATTGCTTTCTTTCACTCAGTGGAGTGTAAGTGAAGGCATCAGATGAGAGAAACAGATCACTGAATGTGGGTAGATGGAGAGACTGACAGTACAGCCTTTGAGAAGAAACACCCATGCGGATGATAGGCCATCAAGAATAGAGACACAGCCCTGGCCGGTTTGGCTCAGCGGTTGGAGCGTCGGCCTGCGGCCTGCGGTACAGAGAGACCCGGGTTCAGTTCCCGCTAAGGGCACGTACCTCGGTTGCAGTTTGTCCCCGGCCCTGGTTGGTCGTGCGGGTGGCAGCCACTTGATGTGTCCCTTCACATCGATGTTTCTCTCTCTCTCTCTCTCTCTTTCTCTCTCTCCCTCCTGCTCTATCTGAACAAAAAATGGAAAAATATCCTCGGGTGAGGATAAAAAAATAAAAAAATAAAAAGAATAGAGACACAGGTGAAAGAGCCAAAACCATCAAAAAGGAGGGATGGGGGGTCTATTTAGGTCTTTCCAAGGAGGCACAGCAGATGATAACATCTGAAGGCAAGAGTTTATCACTAAAAACTTGTCTAATCAAGCAGGTGTTTATAACATGTATTTGAAATGAATTGTTTGAAACTAGATTTTAGATGAATCTATCACAGCCTAAGGAGTGGCCATCAAGGAACCAAGGCAGTGAATGACTTACCTCTCTTGCCCTGCTTAGAATAGGACTTGGACCAAAAAATGTTTGTGCCTGTCACTTAGTCCACTGCCTGAAACCACTTGAGACATGCCTTTTCCATACTTTACTTTTTGTTAAATTCTCCAGTTTCACTGTTCTTGGAGATCTTTATTCTTCTCTTCATTTCCTGCCTAAACCTTGGTGGAAGGATGGCTTTTTATCCTGATTCAATTGCTCTTGTCCACAACTCTGCAGAACCCTGGCTTCAGATATGGATGCTGATCTGAGAAGCAACACATGGCTTGGCTCTGATTGCTTTGGCACACACACTGTTTCATAGAATCCTAGAATCTTAGGATTTTAGTTGAAAGGACCCTCCAGGTCATTTAGTCCAACCTCTTGCCTAATTTAGGATCTTTTCTCTTTTCTTCATCTTGGTGACTCTAGTTAACTCTACAATTTTTCCCTTTACATAGGAGCTACTCTCACCTCAGGAGAGCCGACTTCCATTTCACAGTATTTGTATATTTAATCAGTGGTATCCATTTGTTTTGTAATCTCTTTGACATATGGGCCTTTGACTTTCTTTTTCCCACCTGCCTACAGTTGTTTTCATCTGTCTTTTGCTAGCTAACACTGTGGTTAGAACTTCAAGTGATTTTGTGACATTTGACTACCAAAGATTCTCTTTAGTATTAGCCCTTACATTGTGTTCAACAGCAGTGGTTTGACACCCCTGGTCATGAAATTCCACACTTTGAAACTCATACAGATTCAACTAATGATTTTTCTCCCATAGTGGCTTACACTACAGGTAGCCACCATTAAATTGTCAGTTTTGCTTGCAATTTCTCCTTTGAAGAGCCTATGATTCTCGAATTTGATTTTTAGCTCTGTGATAATATGATAGGTTGTAGATTTTTAATGAGGCAATGAGTGTTCCCTTTAAAGTTCTTACCAATATTAGTTAACTGAAGACATTTAGCGCTTTGAAACAAGTCAACTGGCTTTGACACTGAGCATATTCACGTTTCCACAGCCTGATTATGTGTCAATGCCTGGATTACCTGGTTTGTGAAGTGTTCAGATCTTGGATCCACTTAATGAACTGTCATGGGAGAGCAGGGTCTTTGGAGATCTCGGCTCAGCTCTCAGTTTTGCCATTTACCAGCTTTATGTCTTTCATAAATCATTTAACCTTTGTCAGCTGTAAAATAGGTGTAATCACAGGCACCCACTGCAATGTGTGAGGGTTAAGTGAGATAATGTCTATGAAGTGTCCAAATATTACCTGACACGTGGTAAGTGGTTAATACACGTCAGAGTCCCTTTCTTTCTGTTGCATGTGTGTTTTTCCTTATTTGTGTCTGGACTAGCAGAAAAAAAGTCCTGGATTGATCCCTAGGTCACTCTTCATAATCCTTAAAGACTGAGATTTTCAGAATGTCTTATGTATGTATTTCTTACTGCTAAATCCTCACTTCAAGGGTAAATACTACCACTGGTGAAAAGAGAGGGAGAAGAAAAGAAAAAATCAAAAGGAAAAAAGGGCCAGAGAGACAGAAAGTGGAAGTGACAAAGGAAGAGAACAGAACATGGAAGAGGTGTACCTACCAGAGAATTGAAGTATTAGAGAGAAATCATAAGCCTTCTCAGGACCGGGCAACTGCATGGTGCAAAATGAAGACCACAGGCTATACAATTAAACAGACCTGTGTTCAAAGCCTGGCTTCTCTGATTATTAGTTCTGGGACCTTGAACAATTCCTTTATGTCTTAGCACTTTAGTTTTCAAATGAATAAAACAACAGCTATGTTTACTGAGTGTTTACCATGTACCAGCACTCTTCTATTCATTTAAATTCTCACAATAGCCCATGTGGTGTGCAGAATTAGGATCCTCATTTGACAGATGAGGAAACTAGCTTAAGGACAGGGTTAACATTTGCTCAAGATCGCAGAGCTGGGATCTGCCCATAGATGGTCTGGCTCTGGAGCTCACACTTTTGCCACTGCACTGAAGCCACATATGCACGGTGGTGGTGAGGACATGAGAATGGGCCCCACAGGACCTGCCCATCGTATGTGCTGGGACGTGTGCTCCCTTCCTTCCTTTCTTTCTCTTCTCTCCCTGGCTGCTTGTCTTCTGTTGTCCAGGTGGAACTTAATTTTCTGGGGATTTCCATCTGGTTAAATCGAACTTGCTCCTCCAGAAGGAACCCCATTATAGCCTCACCTTAAATACACTCTAAGTGTCACTGTTAAATAAGTGATGCTGCTGCAGTTGAAGCCTCCTTTCAGGGGTTGCTTCTTATATTGATCCCACCCCTGGCTATATGTCAAAACAAATATGGTAGTGGGAGAAATGAAACTACTTCACCTACTTACACACACACACACACACACACACACATACGTACATGCACACACACACACAGGAGTTGATGATTTAGTGTCTTTTCAAGCACGTCTGATTGACTTTCTTAATTAAATTAAGTCATATTTGACCCGTCTTATAGATTGGTAGTTATTTCTTCTATCAGTTCAGCTTGTGTTTCAGCATCAAGTAGATTATATTGCCTGATTTGTTTATTCATTATTTAACAAAGAGTTATTGGGAGACTATTATATTCTAAGTATGGTGCTAGGTAGGAGAAATATTAAGACATGAAATAGGCCTCCCTTTCAAGTAGAGCATTGTCAATGATCATAAAAACAATTAATTGTACTACAACACTAGGCCAGGAATGGCTATGAACACAAAGTTTATTGTTTGTATTTTTTACTTTTACAGGATCAAAAAATGTTTTCCTTATGTCTTTAATTTTGGCTGATAATTCCTTATGCATTCCAATAAAAAAGAAATAACCACACATACTTTATTTTATTAATATATGTTTTCAGAGTAAGTTAGGAATCTAATGTCCTCCTCATCACTTTTCTAAAGTTTGGTTTCAAGGTAACTGTAAGCTTCCTATGGCCAAAGATACATATGTTCTTTGTTTATCATAAGAAAAATAAAAAAACTGGGGCACAAAGGAAATTGAAAGTATGTTATAATCTTACTATCCCAGAATTATTTATTAAATAACCCATTGACTTTTAAAGGTTTTATATTGTGTATATTTACATATGTGAAAATATGTTCTTTCCTCTTCAAATCAGAGCCTACGGGAACGTTAGACATCTGGTACGTGAAACAGAACATTGACTACAGTAGACAACAGATTTCTCTTTTCTGGAAGGTAAGTTTTCAGTGTCAATTTAACATTCAGGAGAATTACATAATTGGGTTTTCTTTTTGTTTGTTTTTATTGAGATATAATTGACATATCAAGAGAATTGTATATTTGAACAATGTCTGTCAAAGACAGAAAAAGACCTTTTATTCCCACAGTGGCTCTCATATGAGGCTTCAGAGACTTCGTTGAAGCTCATTTTCTCAGCCGCATCTTCATGATTTTTGATCAGTGTCATTATCTTTTGCCAATCAGGGTGGGAGCTCTGACTGAGTCCTTCCCCCATACAATCACATCTTTTTTCTCATCAAGGTCCCTTCCCAGCCCTCAGCATGTCCACCCTCAGACCTCACTGCAGCATCTCTTCTGACTCCTGTCCCTCTCTGCCCACCCCTCTCTCCTAATACAGTGTGCCCAGCAGTGCCATGCCACCTGGCTTGTGCACTTTTGGGGAAATTAAAGATGGGAAATCTGTAGATGTGGATATTTAGGAATATATTTTCTTAGTCGTTGAGAAAGGAGAGGGAAGGCTGCCCTACCCCAGGGACACAAATAATAGCAAAAAAACCCAACATGAACAGGAACAGAAAGCAGCTCCTCCTCAGAAATAGTAGGAAAACAGTAGTAAATGGAACAACCTCCAGAAAACAACGCGGCCCCATGTGATCGCAGAACATGCAAATTCCCCAAAGTGCTGAAAGCTGGCGTTGTTGTGGCATTTCATCCTTACCCAGACCCTGTGAGGGGGTACTAGGCATCCCCACTTAACAGATACAAAAACGGGGGGGTCAGAGAAAGGAAGTTCTTCCCAAAGTCACCCAGCCGCTGAGTGCAGAGCTTGGACTGAAACCCGACCCAGAACTCTTTCTGCTACATCATGACTCATCTTTGTGGAAAGAAAATGCCATTTGAATTGAGCTCCTGATCGGCATGCTCATAATAAGAGGTTTCAGGTGAGCTTTACTCCTCCTTCCCCCTAAACCTCTCATTACACCTCTCCCAGCTAAGGGCAAATGGACAGTTTGGAGTTAGGAAGCTGGTGAGCACAAAACCAGAAGGGTCAGAGCAATGAACACGAAGTCCTCTGATGGGATTAGCATGATAGATTTGGATAGTTGCCGTCTTCTTCAGATTGCAGAAATGAGCCTGGCAACCTTGAGCTCTTCCTTCCTCTTTTCCTCTCTCTCTCTCACACACTCAAAATGTCTGGTATAGGAGGAGACTTGGTGAGTCATAATCAAGCTTTTTGACATTAAAACCACAGCTTAAAATTTATTTTAAAATAAAGCCGCTTGTACTAACAAGATACTTCTCAAAGCAAGACATATAAGGCAGCCATAATTTGAATATTATAGAAGAACCCACATCAGTTCTTGGCTCTTGGTTTTCATTTTCACAAGTGAGTGACGGGTTGAAACCAAAATTTCTACACCCATAACGATGTCTCCTCTTAAAATGTCCTCAACAATGATCTGAAAAGATACGCTGTTTTCTTAGTCCCATTTCACACCCCTCTACTCCGGGGTTTCTCTGTAGAATGGGAGTAAATGATACTGGCATCTATGTAACTGACAAGCCCATTGTGGGGATTTATAAATAAGAGGTCACAAACATAGAAAAATCACTGGGGCCACACCAAAGAAAAATTAAATGGTGCCACATTATGATTTTTTTTTTTTTTTGTTACCGCATCCGAGGACATTTTTGCATTTATCTTCAGGTAGAGCGGGAGAAGAGAGAGAGAAACATCGATGTGAGACACATCGACTGGCTGTCACCCACACGACCCCAATCAGAGCTGGGGACAAACTGCAACTGAGGTACATGCCCTTAGCGGAGAACCAAACCCAGGTCTATCTGGTCCGTGGGCTGAGCCAAACCAGCCAGGGCACATTATGAATTTTTATCCTAATGGTGAAAACAACACACACCCAGTGCCATGGTCTGTGCTTCTCACTGTAACAGAGCATTTAGAACAGGTGGATCTTGGTGCTCTGAAACAAGTATCCGTTAAATAAGAAGAAACAGCCATCAGCCATCGGTAGTACTAGAAAAGGTGCAAATGCAAATCTTTCTCTGTTTCTCATTTTGATCTTGCCCCTAATCCTTACGAAACATTGGTTATAAAATGAAGTCTCTGCAGGGATCTTCTGAGACGGAGAATTCCACTTTGCTGTCCGTGCCATGATGCACATCTCTTGCTGTTAGAAAATCTTCCCTTATGTGGAACCAGAATTGTAGATGCTTGGACTGGAATTGGCTTGAATAAGAAATAAAAAATGCAAATACTGGAAGTTTCTATAGTTTGATAGTGGTCATGACAGGGCACCTTCAAAACCCTCAGTAACAGTCCAGCCTGAGAAGCTCTTTAAGGAAAGTTGGATCTAGTCCTCAGTGTTGCAGGGCCGTTACTAGGTGAAGTCCTTTTTGACAAATCCTGGGCTTCTTTCCTGGCCCCAGACAGGCACCTCGCCTGGAAGTGGGAATAAACACTGGCCGGAGTTACTGAGATGAGCAGGCCTGCTTTGGACCACAGACCACAGAATCAGACCTCTAGCGCCAAAGGGAATTCAACCAGCATGCAGTCCTAGCACCCCCTTTACAAATGTGGAAACGGCTTTAGGGGGGTGAAGTGATTTCCAGTGAGAGGTCACATGGGGCTTGTTCCTGGGAGCCTTTCCCAGGCAGACATCACTGCCCGTTCTGTTTGGAAACACTCCCACCCCTCCTCAGACGGGGATTCCTCGTGCCGCTCTCAGGCAGGCTTGGGGATTTGACAGGGTGGTGCCGTGACACAAGGGACTCACCTGAACGGCAGACTAGGAAGAAATGCTGCAGCCAGATAGGTGCTCTGTGGTGGGGCCAGACTAGACCTCACTGGGGAAGGGAAGCACAGCACGCGTGTGGTGGGCTTTTCAACTGTGATTAAAAAGTTGGGGTAAACTGTGTTGGGGGAAGTCCAAACGGGGGACACCCCACCACAGCAGAGAGGGGAATTTCAGGTGTCGGCAGCAAAGGAAGCCTCAAGTAAAACCCCATTAGCCTGTGAACAGTGAGAGCCCCATTTCTCTTGCAGATGGGGAAATGTGAGGTGACCTTTCATTTTTGCAGGATGTTTACATTAGAGGAGAACCACCAGGTGCTGAGTGGGTACAGTCCCTGTGAATGTGAGTATATGTGGGCGTGTATGTGAGTGATGTGCGTGCATGTGTGTTGTATGTGTGAGTACAAAGGGTGTGCGTGAATATGTGTGTCTTTCATATGCGTGAGGGATTGGAGTGAGTGTGGGTGCAGTGTGGATGTAAGTGCATGTATGTGAGTGTCTTCGTCCATTCAGGCTGCTGTCACAAAATGCCATGGACTGGGTGGCTTACAATGACAGACATCTCTGTTCCTTGAAGTTCTGGAGTCTTGAAGTCCAAGATTGGGGTGCTAGCATGGTTGGGTGAAGGGTGTCCTCTAGATTGAAGACTTATTATTGTATCCTCACATGGTGGAAGGGGCTAGGGAGCTCTGTGGGGTATCTTTTATAAGATCATTAATCCCATTCATGACAGTTACCTCCCAGAAGCCCACCTCCAGACATTGTCACATTGGGCATCAAGATTCCACCATGTGAATCCTGGGGACACACCGACATTCAGACGATAGCAGTAAGTGTGCCTGTTTGGAAGGTGTGCATGCGGATGTGAGTATGGGTGTGAATGTGTGTGAGAGTGTGAGTGTGTGTGAGTGTGAGTATGTGAACGTGTGTGAGAGAGTGAGTGTGTCTGAGTGTGAGGTGGTGTGTGTAAGAGTGAGTGAGTGTGAGTGTATGAGAGTGAGAGTGTGTGTGAGAGTGAGAGTGTGTGCGTGAGAGTGAGAGTGTGTGAGAGTGTGTGAGTGAGAGTGTGAGTGTGTGAGAGTGAGAGTGTGTGAGTGAGAGTGTGAGAGTGAGAGTGTGTGAGTGAGAGTGTGAGTGTGTGAGTGAGAGTGTGTGAGTGAGAGTGTGTGTGCATGTGTGTGCGTGAGAGTGAGAGTGTGTGTGAGAGAGTGTGTGCGTGAGAGTGAGAGTGTGTGTGAGTGAGAGTGTGAGTGTGTGTGAGTGAGAGTGTGAGTGTGTGAGAGTGAGAGTGTGTGTGCGTGAGAGTGTGAGTGAGAGTGTGAGTGTGTGAGTGAGAGTGTGTGTGAGTGAGAGTGTGAGAGTGTGTGTGAGAGTGTGTGCGTGAGAGTGAGAGTGTGTGTGAGTGAGAGTGTGAGTGTGTGAGTGTGTGTGAGTGAGAGTGTGAGTGTGTGAGAGTGAGAGTGTGAGTGTGTGTGCGTGAGAGTGAGAGTGTGTGTGAGAGAGTGTGTGTGAGTGAGAGTGTGAGTGTGTGAGAGTGAGAGTGTGTGTGAGAGTGAGAGTGTGTGCGTGAGAGTGAGAGTGTGTGAGAGTGTGTGAGTGAGAGTGTGAGTGTGTGAGAGTGAGAGTGTGTGAGTGAGAGTGTGAGAGTGTGTGAGTGAGAGTGTGAGTGTGTGAGTGAGAGTGTGTGAGTGAGAGTGTGTGTGCGTGAGTGTGTGTGCGTGAGAGTGAGAGTGTGTGTGAGAGAGTGTGTGCGTGAGAGTGAGAGTGTGTGTGAGTGAGAGTGTGAGTGTGTGTGAGTGAGAGTGTGAGTGTGTGAGAGTGAGAGTGTGTGTGCGTGAGAGTGTGAGTGAGAGTGTGAGTGTGTGAGTGAGAGTGTGTGTGAGTGAGAGTGTGAGAGTGTGTGTGAGAGTGTGTGCGTGAGAGTGAGAGTGTGTGTGAGTGAGAGTGTGAGTGTGTGAGAGTGAGAGTGTGTGTGAGTGAGAGTGTGTGTGCGTGAGAGTGTGAGTGTGTGAGACCTCTTCTTTGTTCTGGTTCCCACATAGTTACTCATCTTCCCACCACTTGGTTTCTCCTGAAAGCTGCATTTCCTCAAAAATATCCCGTACTATTTTTTTGCTGCAGTTATTTTTAAGAGAAAAAAAAGATTTTCTCTGTTGAAGCTAAAAAGTACAACCTAATCCAT